ATTGTTCACACAATATATGCTGCATTGGCGTTGTTCTTAGTTGTCAAGACAGCAGCAATTCATATGGTATTACTGTGACTCAGCAGCACAGCAGTTACATCTGTCAGAAGTAGTTTGTCAGTGCTAATCTGACTTTAGTAGATGCATTATAACAGCTGAAGTTTGAACTCTAGCAACAGCTGGTGCAAATTTAGCCGCTTTTCATCAAGAGGCTGTATTGACACATGGTAGAATTTGCGTGTGTGTGTGTGTGTGTCCATCAGCAGTAATTCAGGACCGTAGCAGTGTAAAAGAATTGAGTAAATTGCTGCTCTGTTGGCCTTGATCACATCAGTCATCCTCTCATCTAATCCTCATGAACTGACGTGAAGGCAGAATTCGTCCCCTTCGTTCTCCAGCTCTATGACTTTCTGCATCCATCTCTTCATCTTCTAATTGTTTTTCCTTTCCCTCTCTATCTCTGCCACGTTCAATCACAGTCACTTTATCAAAGTGTCAGTTTCTCCCTTCTCCTCTCCACCCAGCATTAGCACCCATTCACTCACTATTTCACTTCTCCGGTGCAGGGTGTACAGTGAGATCATCCAAGGTTCTGCTGAACAGATTGCACGTGGCATTATCTTTCTGTTTAAGTCACCACACTTAACACTCACACATGCTCTGATTTTTTTTACCCCCAAACACTGTCCCCACTCTGAAGGTCAGAAACTGGTTTTCCTAAAAGGAGAACGCACAGTGGTCCACACATGTCAGTTCATTTCACACCAAGACTCCAATCAGTACTGTCAGTGTCAAAGCCAATAGACAACACAATCTCCAACCGACCATAAAGAAAATTGAGTGGAGATGAAATCTGCTTCTCCTCTCTTTACCTCTGGGCTGTTCAGGGTTTCACCATGCTCCCACTTGTATCGGTAAAATACTATCTGCTTAGTATCAGACCAATCAAATCAAAGCATCACATATGCTTCTGGTTGACTGCCTGTTACACCACTCTAGCATCTCAACTTTGACATACTTGACCTTATAAATTCACCCTGGAAAGCATTCCATTCAGAAGGGACCAACAGTCTTACACAGTAGACTGGAGTATGACTATAGATATTGTAACACTTTATCCCATTTATTTATTTGTTTACCATTTACATTATTTTGCCAAGTTAGTGTTAGTTATGTATTACTTTGAATGAATTAAATAAATATTATTAAAATATTATTATTATTAAATATAATTTAAATAAAATGTTATCAGTATAGACATATTTTGTTTGAACTCATTTTGTGTCCTTTTTTTTTGTTGGTGTGTTTCTATATGTTTTTATTGTTTTGTTTAGTTTGACCGGGTTTGGTTTGACTTGCTCAGGTTGATCTGTTAGTTTGGCTCCATCTCACTCTTCCTGTGTGACACACACAAACACATAAACAGTTGCAGGTGAAGTTCTGTCTAGCAATCAGGGTGTATGACACCTGCTGTGTTACAGCAGCATATAGTTACTGTGGTTTCTACACACCACTAGATCTCTGAGATGGAGCATATGTACACACACACATGCATGCATGCACACACATTCTGAGTAAAGGAAAGTGTCCTGATAGGAAAGTGCCTCAGTCAGATAGCAGAGCAACCTCTCATTTCATTCATTTAGTTTGTGTTTGTGTACTTGGACTTCAGTTTGTTTCACAGTGAAGAGGAAAACGGCCATCTCGTCTCTGCAACAAACTAACACACAGTGTTAGCACTTCCAGAGAACAGAAGGATCACACTCACAAAAAAATACATTGAAATGCTTTTTTTAATCATAGTCAGCAGTCTGGCAGAGATACATTGTTCCAGCGCCTGGCTTCCGTCAGCATTTACGCTACTTTTTTTGCACTGAGAATGCTTCTTTGTTCTTGCTGTCTACCTGTCCAACATTCCAAGTGCTAAGACAATCACAAGATGTTTCTTCGTTCAGCATTTATGCTGTCAAATGATTTCTTTCAGGGAGAGACAAACTTTCTGTCTTTGTTTGAGTTTACGTGGTATATCTATTTTCTATGACTGGTATTGTTCCCATTAACAAAGTGAGACAGCTCTATCCCTGACTCCAACCCTATGAAAGGGTTGATTAATAGGGCTCTTGATCAGTACCAGTCAACCAGTCTCTACTTACTGACTCAGGTGGCTGTGTTGTTACTTTTATGGTAAATCACATTTATTTGTGCCTCACAGGGCCACATTAGACAGGAAACACTACACCTGTCAAAGTGAACAACGTGTGGAAAAAATCCTTCCACCTACCTTAAAATGGATTACATGAGACAATCCCACCCACCCTCCCCAAGGGGATAAACCTTTTTTTTATCAGCACAGACTCCAGAGTTTTAGGGGAATCATTACAGCCACTCTGTGTAGAATTTGAATTTGAAGTCTTCACTTTAGCACTATTTGATAGAATCAAGACAGACACTGTGGTCAACAGTCATGCAATTCCTTGCTGATTGTGTAATTACTAATCCCACCTGAATCATTTTCAGATTCATACAATCAATTCCGATTTTTTTTGTATGCCTTTTTTATTCTGCATTTTTCCCTGCTTTGCTGCTTAACATTAACAGCAGTCAGTCTACTAGCGTTAGCAATTTGCGTGTATTTATCTATGCCAAAACAATACATTAAAGTAACATTGCTGTTCACCACAATTTTAACAATTTGGTCAAAGAACTTGTTCATTTATCATATTGCAACAACGTACTAGTCAGCACGGGGTTGTCAGATGAGGATGAGGCAGGACAGGGAGACCAGCACAGCACGTTGAACATAGTACACTCCTTGTTGATTTGTAGGTTCAATTCAATTCAATTTTATTTATATAGCAAATCACAACAACAGTTATCTCATAGTGCTTTTCATAAAAGAGTGGGTCTAGACTGGACTCTGTGATGTTATTTACAGAAACCCAACAATTCACACAAAGAGTAAGCACTAGGCGACAGAGGCAAGGAAAAACTTCCTTTTAAGAGGCAGAAACCTCGAGCAGAACCATGGCTCAGGGTGGGCGGCCATCTGCCTCCACCGGTTGGGGGTGAAGGGGAGAGAGAGAGAGAGGGGAGGGAGGCAGCCTACACAATATACACACAGAGGTACAGACAGTAAAGGTATATATAGTAGTGTTAATGATAATAATTATAATGTTAATGATAATAACAACAATCGGCCTAGTAACAATAATTGTAGCAGAGGCTGTCGAGCAGGAACACAGGGGCAGCAGGTGACCCGCAACCACAGATCCAGACTCCACAGCTCCAGAGCCAGAAACACCTGCAGGAAGTGATAGGAGGAGAGAGGGACGAGAAAGCACAAGACTACCAGAAAGGGGAGAAGTTGTGTTAGTAACATGCAATAATGGGATGAGGTTGCATACAGAGGGAGAGAAAGTAGAGGAGAGAGGAGCTCAGTGCATCATGGGAAATCCCCCGGCAGTCTAGGCCTATAGCAGCATAACTAAGGGATGGTTCAGGACTCACCTGAGCCAGCCCTAACTATAAGCTTTATCAAAGAGGAAAGTCTTAAACCTACTCTTAAATGTGGAGATGGTGTCTGCCTCCTGAACCCAAACTGGAACCTGGTTCCACAGGAGAGGAGCTTGATAGCTGAACGCTCTGGCTCCCATTCTACTTTTGGAGACTCTAGGAACCACAAGTAACCCTGCGTTCTGGGAGCGCAGTGCTCTGGTGGGGTAGTAAGGTACTATGAGCTCTTTAAGATAAGATGGTGCCTGACCATTAAGAGCTTTGTAGGTAAGAAGAATGATTTTAAATTCTATTCTGGATTTTACTGGAAGCCAATGCAGAGAAGCTAAGACAGCAGAAATGTGATCTCTTTTCCTGGTTCCTGTCAGAACACGTGCTGCAGCATTCTGAATCAGCTGAAGAGTCTTAATGGACTTTTTTGAGCAGCCTGATAATAAAGAATTGCAGTAATCCAGCCTAGAAGTAACAAATGCACGGACTAGTTTTTCTGCATCATTTTCAGACAGAATATTCCTGATTTTTGCAATATTACGATAGGTGAAAAAAGGCGGCCCTTGAAATTTGCTTAATGTGAGAGTGAAACGAGGTGTAGATGTATGTGTTTACCCATTTTCTTGTGTATCCTCCTGAAATAAGTGTTTCACAGGTGTTACACAGTGCCGACCCAGGCTTTTTCAATGTGAAAATGTTGAGCGCCGCTTACTGTGCTCCATGGCTGCAACAGAACAAGTGCCTGAAAGTATAGAGGCCACAACGGAAACCAAAACTTATGCATGTTAAATTTGGAACTGATGATTGGATTTGAAACCAAATTTTCCAAACTCCTATTTGGAACCTGTTCTTGATGCCCAACTCTACTTTTAAAGGTACCATGTGAAGTTTTTGACCACCAGTAACGTTGTGGAGCAATGTTTTTTTTAGTGGGTCCCTGTTTTGTTTGTTTGAAGATATACACTTTCTTGCCATTGAATTCACACTATTCTTCCTGTCTTCAGGTGGCAGTAACGTGGCAAGAAAGGCAGGGAAGCAAGCTAGTTATTTATTTTTTATAATTAGCACATTTTTTATGAAGAAGGAAATGTGTTGACCTCAGTGTGTTTTGGGCGGGGAAAATCTGCCCTCAACAACAGCACCCCCACTGCACCGACAAACTGGCTCTATTTAAATGAATGAGGGCTGCATTTTTTTTTTTTGTGAAGTTATATTAAAAAGAATTAACATAACCACCCCTCACAGGCCATCAAAGTAGCATGGTCTGGGAGTTGACCTGGTCCAGATGGTTTCCCAACCAAATTAGGGCGATTAGTTGGTATGCAATGCAGCCGAGCACTGTTTCTCTTTTGATACGACTTTGATATTGAAGTCAAAAATTTGCAATTCTACACAGTGGTTCATAGTGGCAACAGTGATCCCAGCATTACTTGCATAAAAGCAGCACTAGTGTTACATAATGCAGCTGCCTTTCAATCTCTATTCTGTGTTTTCAGGTATTTACCAGTTCAGAGTTCCTGAGTCGTCCCAATCCGGCACTCCAGTTGGGAGAATTAAAGCCACTGACAGAGACATTGGGAAGAATGCTGAGATGTATTTCACCATTGTCAGTGGAGATGGCTTAGACATCTTTGACATCTCCACTGACAAAGACACCCAGGAGGGAGTCATCACCGTCAGCAAGGTGAGAGTGGGGAGGACTAAACTGTGGGCTCAGAGTGCTAATCACATTCATAAAAATATTTGTGAAGTCCTAAAGCCAGGCTTGGCTTTAGGGCAAGAATAATTAAGAGGAAGCACAATAAAAACATCTTCTAAAAAGGGTTAAATATGCATTATATAAGGAATAATGTAATATAAAATCAAGTAAATAAATAGCAGTATTTAAATTCCACTAGTTGTACAATGAATGACAGAATAAAATGCAGAAGTCAAACTGCATCTATTGTAAATAATGTGAAATCTGTTGTTTTTCTAATGCCCGTGTTCCAGTTTGAATTATCTTGATATTTTTCTCACGGCTTTGGTTAAATCAAATTAATTCTAAAGCGGTGATTCAGCAGATCCCACACTTTCGACTCATAAGGACCCTGCCCACGTAGTCTGTTTTACACGTACTGTTAAATATGCAAAGCCTGGCATGCTTGACAGATGAAAGAAACCAAATTAAAATGATTCATCTTTACCTTCACAACCCCCAGCCCTAGCCTTTGCAGCAGGCACTAATACACAGGCCTGGAACTTTTTATGCTGCTGGATTTTACAAATGAATCACAGCGTCCTCACAGATTGTATGTTTACTGATGCACAATCACAATTGATATTTAGAAATTCTTTTGTTCCTCTTGCTGACACAACCTAAGAAAGTCTGCAAGCTTCAACAAAGAAGTAATGATATTCTGTCAGCAGGATACGAGATGAGGACAATACCCAGGATTCCTTCAAGGAGGCAAAGGCAGCGCATGTAGAGCTGTTCAAGTAAATCTGAAGCTTTGTTCTTGGGTGAAAAAACAACCATGCATAGTTGTCACAGCTGATGCACTTTAAAAAAAAACTATTATCATCTGTCATCAGATTGAATCTGTCTGCTTTACATCACATTTTATTAATGTTAGATTTTCCTCTGTAACACCAGATGCTGTTTTTTTCATTCTTGTCATTCGGACTGTCATTATACAAGAAAAGAGATGTGTTCTTAAATTCCATAAATCATGTCTTTGATGCTTCTCACTTATCAAGTTAAATTATATGTTAATTAAAATCACTTCCTTGCTAGATTACATGTAGTGTTCTGTATGCAGGGTGTCTGCGGGGTCTTAAAAAGTCTTAAAAGGTAATAAATCAATTTTGCGAAAATTAAGGCCATTAAAAAGTCTTAATCGCCATTTAACAAGGTATTCAATTATGAAGATATTTTTTTCAATGTAAAAATCCTGTTTGTCCAAAAGTTTGTTTGCTAAAAGTGTAGGTGAACGTATTTATTTATAATGCATAGCCAAAAACACTAGACAGGCAGTGAGTAGCGACTGTGATTCATTTCTGCAACGTTAGGCGCCTATTTCACTCTTAAATGCTTAAAAAAAATAGATCCGTAAATGATTCCAGAGTAAAACCGACCGTAATTTCCCACCCCGCTGGATTTATTGTTAATTGTTCAAAACATAGTCGGAGTGGCGATCAGGAGTAACGGGATTAACCCGGTTGGCCGGTCGCTCTGTGGCTACTTGAACAGCCCCGTTCTTGGAAAACAAGAGCGGAATGTGCTGCCAGCAGCGGAATCGGTAAAACAGAAGACAACAGGGAAAATTCAAGGAGCGTGTGGGTTTGGCGAACGTTAGCTGGCTATTTAGCAAAATATCTGCCTTTTATTGAAACGCATTCAGCTTTTCATTAAGCCGATGCTCTCGTCAGTGTCACTTTTTGTGCACAGATCAATCACAGCCTGGATGGAGCGGGATTTTTTAAAAAGTTTGATGTGCTGCAACAAACTTTATAAATGTTGAACTCAATGTTCTGCATAAATGGTTATGATTACTGACGAGTTAGTAGCCTGCCCACCATCAAGGTTGGAGACGTAGCCTAGAGCATTTTTCTTGCACAAAGTTAATGAATAAAAAACAACCCCAAACTGAAACAGTTGTAATTTGAACTAATATTATACTAGTGGAAGTTATATACTATTATATGAAATTATATTGAATATAGTAACATAATGAATATATTAATATCAAGCTTACAGTTTACTATTACATTAACAATATGCTTTTAATGTTATATTATTACACTAATACAGTCATTTAGACTAGTTCCTCCTCCAGGTTGTAAGTTACCTGTGCTGCAGCGCCTACACTACTTACGTTATTCATCACTCAGTTTATTCTCTTCATCTTTGTTCCCTCCTGGCCTATTTGAATTTTGTTGTATTGATCAAGTGGTCGATGAAAGTTATCACATGTATCATTGCAGGCAAGCTCACATTATCTAGCTTAAACCAACTAAAACACAAAATCACACTGTGTTTCACATGATTTGCTGTAATGTTGCGTACATAAACGTCATAGCTTATGTAAGACACTTGCTTTTCGCAGGAAATCTGACCAGTCCTTCACGTAGAAAACAGTTGGCCCATACAGGCTGTTATAGGCATCTTTTTTTAGGTGGCATTACAACCTGATGACATATAGGCAATGAATATGTTATAAATATATTTAAATTCCTTTTAAAAACTCAAAAATTGCCCTTTTTAAAGGTGTGTGACTGATTTAATTGGTTACAGTTCAAAGTGGCACGGCAGTCTTAAAATATGTTGAAAAAGTCTTAAAAAGGTATTGAATTTTACTTCAGGATCCCTGTATATACCCTGGTATGATATCATGCATGGTGTAACTATGACTGTGTGCTGTATAAAAACTCTGTTTGGGTTTGTGGTTGGGCTCATCGGCACAGTCTTTGTCTTTTTCCTTTAATATATATGCCCCTTGCTTCTATGAAATGTAAAATTATATGTTAACAATTCAATCTGGATTTTAGGCCAGTCTAATTCCTTATTTAACTTGTTTTGTAATATACTACAAAAATTCTTTCTCAGTAATTACAGCTGTGCAAAAAAATTATGCAGTAATATATTGCAGTACTTTTTTCCACAATACTATATCTATTTTCCAGCCTATCATATGTATAACATAAAAAATAGCACTTTGGCTGTTAGCTCAGTGCTAACAAATAATGGGAATCGCCATTAACATGCTAACAGACATTAGAATCTCGATTGCGATAACGTAATATTAACTTAACTGCTTCACATGCTAAACATTCAGAACGACATAGTGTGCAAATACTTACAGGCATATTTTTTTGTGCTCTGTGTGAAATAAAAAAATGCTAACTTCACTGGCTTGATCTGCTACTCTGCTGCTTCAGCATGCCACACTGATTAGCTATAGCAACCAAAGCAAAGGGTCAATACTCACACAATTTCCAGTGGCCTAAAAACAGCTACCACTAGATGGAGACATTGCATGCCAAGAAAGGGCAGCACAACACTGTGTCACTGAACAGTTGTCAAAATAATGTGATGTACAAATTAGACAAGTTGTATTTTCAGTTCTATTTTAAAAAATTCTGTAAATTGTGTAGAGTATTGTATTACAATGTATCACAATATATATCACATACAATATATCGTGATTCAGATGTATTGTGACCATTGTATGTAATACGTATCATATCACGTAAGGTATCACTGTACATATCATAAACCAGTGCCAAAATGGCTGTTCGTCAAGCATAAAAGGTATCAAAAATTTGTATTGGCTGGCTAAATATATAGATCACCAATATTTAAAGCTGCTTTGATCAATAATTTAATCTTACCTTAGCCTTTAGGGTCTTTCAGCTCATTGTTTTAGTTTCTGTCCCACAAGCTCTGATCAACCTTATTCCAGCAGCTGGAAATTAGATTGAAGGCAGCTATCTCTCTAATAAAGACAGGAATCACTGTGTGTTTGTCTGTTTATATTTTGATTATGTCAGTAACCGTTCATCCAATCGACTTCAAACGTGGCGGGAGGGAGTGCAGTGTCGCATTTGGTTCAATTTGAACACGCAACACGTTCAGAATTAGTAAATACAGTTGAGAACAGCGCTGAGAGAAGCTCTGCAGCAGGTATGGCATATGAGCTGCTCGCACTTTTATTTTGTAGGCACAATCACTTAAGAGGAAGTGATTATGTGATTAACTGGTGCTGACCTGACTGATCTATTTCAGCACCATCCGCTATCAGAGTATTTATTTATTTATATATTAATTTGGCCCGCGGCAGGGTGCTGGCCATTTTGGGAGCAATTTGGGGTTCAGTGTCTTGCCCAAGGACACTTTGACATGTGCAGCTTTGGGTCAAACGGCCAAACCTGTGATGAATGGACGACCTAATGCCACAGAGAGGCTAACTTTGTATGGCTGCATCCTGAGCCACAGCAGCCAGACAAAGTTAGCCACTCACTGGCAGACATTTAGCTGCTGAAAAGCCAACATTTACTGGCCAGCACACACTCTTTTTGCTAACCTGCCAAATGGAATATTTGTATGACTTATTTGTGTATTCATAAATATTCTTGTCTTGTACATATGTGATCTTATCAGCCTCTAGAACTTCAGTCTGTCTGTGCTATATGTACGATAATTGGTGGCTACCCCTGTGTCATGTTTTTTTCTCTTTGCCTCTGCAGCCTTTGGATTATGAGAGGAAGCCATCTTACACAGTAGAAATCCAGGTCCAAAACACCCAGGTGGATCCTCGCTTCATGTCTGCAGGCTCCAAAGACATGGCCACGGTCCGGATTGGGGTGGAGGACGTGGATGAGCCGCCGCTGTTCGACAAAGCCAGTTATCTGATGGAGGTGAAGGAAGATGCTGCAGTAGGCGTAGTCGTGGGCTCAGTCAGCGCTATGGACCCTGATGGAGCTCGCAGCATGGTCAAGTAAGGCCAAACTTTTTCAAATTTGTATCAATTTATGATTTTAAAAATATGTTATCAACTAATAAGGCACTTTGCTCATATGGAATATATGACTAAATTTTTTTTTTCTTTTATTCAACTGAAAGTCACAAAAAGTTTCAATTCAAAAGTTGGCCAACGGAAAATGAAACCAAGTAATGCCTTTCATGTCTCATAGCCAAATCACAATACGCTGACATGGGCGGTCCAGTGGATAGCGCTGTGGCCTCACAGCAAAAGATTGTGGGTTCAAACCCTAGTTGTCCCGGCCTTTCTGTGTGGAGTTTGCGCGTTGTTTCCTTTGGGTGCTTCCCACCATAAAAAACATTCAGTCTCACGCTCCATCATGCTGATACCATGAGACACATTTTGACCTCAATGAGAAATATCGTCACGTTTTAATATCGCAAGATCTCGTCGCACAAGATCTCGTCACACCCATGAGCAAAGTAGCCAGATGGGGTATGGTGCGTGTTTATTTTAATTACATTTATTTTCCAATCCATGTGACACCAACTTTACAGTTGAAATTTTCGCCAATGTCATACTGAAATCAGGCTTTAGAGAAATCTGGACAAATAAGGTGAATTCAGGGAGTGAACTTTATGGGGTTCAGACACTTTGTGATCCTGATGAGTTGTGCATTTTTCAGTACTGTTCTTTGCTACTTTACAGTAGAACAGAAAATACATTTCATTGTTCATCCCAGATGGAGAATGTAGGAAAATAACCTGTATGCAGTCAGCATTTACTGGGAAATGTGCCATCAAGCTAAATAGCTAAGTAGGGATGGGGATTGATAAATTTTCTATTATTTGGTGACGGTTATTTAGTAAGATGAGACCCAACAGCAGCAGACTCAGTGGTGTTCAACTCGAAGACAATTGAGGGAACTGAATTTTTCCTTTTAACTGACGTCCTTTGATGTTGCGTCCCCCCCCTTACAAGAAATAAATATAGCTAGAAATAATAATAACTTGGAACATAAATGGCATTTCACTTCGTCCTTTGACCGCTTTGCACATTCAGCCATCCGAGCAAGCAGCTAAATGAGAAATGAAGCGAAGAGGATGTGAGGCCTGCATGGTATAAGGAGAATCTGCGATGTGTCATAACTTGATTTGCGATAAACTAATATTGAAGTGTGCATATTAGCTACCAGGTTGTTTTCAAATTCATTACAGGATTAGAATTTAATATTTGAAATACAACTAAATGTTGTTTTAGAGCAGCAACATTAAAGAGGTGGTATTATGCTCATTTTCACATTCAAAATCTTAATTAGGGGTTGTACCAGAACAGGTTTATATGGTTTAATTTCCAAAAAACACCATTTTTTACTCAACCTTACTCAGAATCTCGCACATTGCTGCAGCTCCTCTTTTCACCCTGTGTGTTGTACGCTCCGCTCTTCAGCTACAGAGTGATGCATCTTACTTGCACAAAATCTTTGTTGGGAGTTGCACATGCGCAGTTTCCAGGTTAGGACTACTAGCCAATGAGAAGCAGAGAAGGGCAGGTTGTAAGAAACAAGGTAGTGTGATCCAAATCAAAACCGCTTCCGACTGCGACCGTAAGCTAGCAGACGGTATAAGTTACTCACAAGTCTACAACCACACAACATCATTGTTCCACATCTCACCATCAGGACTAAACGTTGAACTGTTACCGGTGTTCTGACGATCTAACGTTATGCTGCCTTGCCGAAAAATGCTACTACAGCGCAAATTGATAGACTCGACTCTACTTGGCCCTGCTCCATTTTCTATTGCAGATAGTACCCAGAGATAGTACGTAGCTTGTCATCATAGCGATGCCACATACAACTGCCGTGACGTAATGTTCAATGCAACACACACACCAGCGATCCACACAGCTTTCTCTTTTTTAAGTTAAAAGTTTCAACTTTCCTCAGAATGTAAAGACAGATAAGCGGTATGAAAACCTTCCAGCTGTGTTTTCCTCTGCCGTTGTTGCTGCAGCGGTCTGTGTGACAGCGGGAGCAGAGGGCTCTGTGAGCGGGCGGCTGGCCGGCCTCACACGCTCCTCCCACGGGTCACAGCAGGCTTCCCCCCGCAGCCACTTTGCGGAGCTCCTCAACTCCAAAAATATTCATATATATACATATTTTTGTTCCGCCATCACTTCTCGTAAAACTGTCAATATTGGAAATCTACACAGCTGATTTCTCACCTCAAAACTTCTCAGAAGTGGATTTAGTGATGAAATTCCATACGAAAACTGTAAAATATAAAACTTTCTGTTGCTGGCCTGTGTCTGGTGAATAGTGTTTATTCTCTCTGACCAATCAGCAATCTGTCATGTTTTCACGTTACATTTTAGTATCCCTCAGCTCGCTTGGAACCTCAACTGAGGTGAGGTGATACAAAAAAAAGTACCTGGAAGCAGGTACAGGTGCAACATTTCTACAATGGAAAACCAAACAAAGGCGAGTCGAGCCAAAGGCCTCTGCTCAGATTAGCTTGGTTTGAGGGCGTGCCGCTAGCCGCTTGACGCGTTTTCATTGTGATGTCACAAGTAAAGGAAGTGGAGGGGTGGACTACAAACGAGCTGTTTTCAAGCGGTTCAGAGCAGAGCTTTCTGTGGGAGATGGGAACTCCCTTTGGGCTGGACTTTGGGCTTTTTCACTTTGCAAACCTGTTACATGCACAAAAAAGAGAAATAACTCAATAAAGGAGAGGGAAAAAGCCAAAAAGCATAATACTACCTCTTTCAAGTTTACAACAGCAAAGTCAAAGATATCACAATACTGACTGAGGTTTAGAAAGAATCCTCTTCCTCCTCCTCCTCTACTGCTGTTAACTGCCTTTAGAGAGAAGAGGCTGCTTTGTCTGAGCCAGCAGCTGAGAGTTTAAAACAGTGTGCCACATTTTAATACTACAGATCAGTCTATTCTCCTGACATACACTTTCTATTTAGCTTGTTTGTAACATTTGGCTAATTGCCAAGTTAACGTTAGCTGTGCTTACATAAAACATATAGGATGAGAAACTGTGGACAGAGCAGATTAAAATAAAACTTTGTACATGCTGCTTGTTGGACAGGTGTATTGATAAAGTATTGTCTTTTTACTTGCAAAGGTTTTATTACACATGCTGTTGTGCAAATGGAATAGACAACAGGTGGAAATTATAGGCAATTAGTAAGACACCCCCAATAAAGGAGTGGTTCTGCAGGTGGTGACCACAGACCACTTCTCAGTTCCTATGCTTCCTGGCTGATGTTTTGGTCACTTTTGAATGCTGGCGGTGCTTTCACTCTAGTGGTAGCATGAGACGGAGTCTACAACCCACACAAGTGGCTCAGGTAGTGCAGCTCATCCAGGATGGCACATCAATGCGAGCTGTGGCAAGAAGGTGTGCTGTGTCTGTCAGCGTAGTGCCCAGAGCATGGAGGCGCTACCAGGAGACAGGCCAGTACATCAGGAGACGTGGAGGAGGCCGTAGGAGGGCAACAACCCAGCAGCAGGACCGCTACCTCCGCCATTGTGCAAGGAGGAGCAGGAGGAGCACTGCCAGAGCCCTGCAAAATGACCTCCGGCAGGCTACAAATGTGCATGTGTCTGCTCAAACGGTCAGAAACAGACTCCATGAGGGTGGTATGAGGGCCTGACGTCTACAGTTGGAGGTTATGATTACAGCCCAACACCGTGCAGGACGTTTGGCATTTGCCAGAGAACACCAAGATTGGCAAATTCGCCACTGGCGCCCTGTGCTCTTCACAGATGAAAGCAGGTTCACACTGAGCACATGTGACAGACGTGACAGAGTCTGGAGACGCCATGGAGAACGTTCTACTGCCTGCAGCATCCTCCAGCATGACTGGTTTGGCGGTGGCGATTTGATTTAAATGACATGACTTGACTCCCCAGATAAGAATAACTACATTAAAGGACCCACTAGTCTCGATAGCAGTAGTGATAAACTTGGACCTTATTGATTTTTGGGTTTTATAGAAATTTTGGAACCGGGTATCGATTCCCATCCCCATAGCTAATCTAGTTAACTCTAGCACATTAAACAGCATAAAAGCCTGCAAGCAAGTGTTTGCATCACTCAGTTTAGATACTAAATGGTTCTTATTTTTTAAAACCACTAAGAAAATGCACTCAGATTTATATCAATTATAAAAATCTGAGATTTTATATATATATATATAATCAATGTCTTTGACATTATTTTTCATTTGTTATGATTTCAGTTGGACAAAGCAATCATCCCTCCTATCAGACTGAACAGAAATCCTGTTTCTGCAGTGCAGGGCTGTTACATTTGGAAGTTTGCATGTGTTTTGCTATTTTAGAAATCTCAGCAAAACTACATCGTAGTTGGATGAAGTTTGACTTCAAATGGACCTCAACTCTCTAAAGGATTGGGAGGAGTTCTGATGAGAGTCTGAAAAGGAGGAAACAGAGGGGAAAAATGAAGTATGTTTAAAAAAAAATATAGGTGGTATAGTGATCACTGTTAAAATTAGAAACCAAGGCGTCTGTTCACTATACAGCTGTGTATGAAAACTGCTGTATATGCACAACAGAAACCTGCACCTACAGGGTATATTTAAACCTCACTGCAATACTGTTCATTATTGATGCTAGGCATTTGGATAGTTTGAGTTCTGTTGCTCTCCCGTTAGTAATTGTCCATTAACCACGGCATCAATACATCCGGGGAATATTCTGATGTTCACAAAGTAAAATGCCTAAAGTCCTCTGTAATTTGCTCTGTTGCAGCAGGTATTGATCAGGGTGTCCAAAGACTATTAAGATATGTTGAAACTTTCCTGATCATGGAAAGCTAACTGAGCTGCTGCCAAAAAAGAGGAATAGGACACAACGTATGATTTATTCATTATAGAAAAGTGTGCCATATAAATGCAGAAAATTGCAGGATGAGCTAAAAAGAAATCATATTGATGTATGGATTGATGGGTGACATAATAATGACAGGAGATAGAGATTGGAACTGAGCCTTTATTTCTATGCAGGAGAACTGATGAGGAACATATGGAACCATGGAGTTCTCTTAAAATGATATGCCAGGAGGGCACACACACACACACACACACACTTGCACACAATTCAATTTAATCATGTGTTTGTACTTTTGTCTGTGACTGTATCACCTATTCACATTGTTATTATGTTACTGTTAAGTGTTTTCTAATTATGATATATACTGTATCTCTTTATGTAAAGAAATCATTATGATTGACTGGTTCATAATTACCAGCTGATGTTAGTTTGATGTTATATTTTGGAGTGGATAGTGAAACCAGACACTGAATATGTTACAGAACATTCAGTTCTTTTTCATAGAGCAATTTGCCTCCACTTTGACAGGCAGACCAAAAGACAGAAGCAAAAGCATCTCAGTTCTATTATCGATGGAGTGCTGTGAAGCTGTGAATAGCTGCATTCAGCAACTAGTTCAAAAATAGAGAATGCTCTGTGAGCAGTCCACAGACAGTGGGAAAAGATTTTCAAGTAGCTGTGATATTTTGAACAGGCTACAGTAGGACTGAATGCAGCAGCTTCCAGTGGAGCACAGTTATATGATTCAGTTCACTTCCGAGTTTAAAAAAAGTATATATCAAGGACAGGATGAAAGGGGAGAATATTGGCCTCACATAATTTGTGAGAATTTCACAGCTAGTGTTGATTTACTATAAACAGCATATGTACCAACTGTGCAGATGTTGGCTGTAGCTAGCTAACAACGTACATGTACATTTTGACCGTATGGTTGTGCCTGTGTGTGCATTTGTGTGACAGCTCACACTCCTAACCTGGCGTTCAGGCCAAACACTGCCCTGAATTTAAAAAACATAAGGGACTGAGATGGTGGGTAAATAGGACCATTTAGATGAGGGAGTCCAGCTAGGGGAACAGATCAGAGAATTTAAAAATTTAGACACCAAACCCTGAATAGAGGTTTATACCACTATTAGGGCTGGGCAATAAAACAAATAATATAATATATATATAAAAAAAATATAATTTTCCTCAATAACAATATAACAAATGTTCAATAAATGTTTTATTTAATTAATTTGAATTGCCAACAAATTAGCACTTTATTTTCTATTAAGATATTTATTTTGTTGAGGAAAGGGACTAAAAAAAAGATTTTCCTTATTACTTATTTTCCTCATGCATATTTGTTAAAAAACGGTTTTATCATTATTGTTTTAAATGTTCTACCTCAGATATGTTAAGTGATTCACTGTTTAGAATCAGAAAGCTTGCTCAAGGATTTAGATAAAGAAAAGTTTAACTACTACTAATAAATTAGATTTATATAGCGCTTTTCTAAGCACTCAAAGACGCTTTACAAAGGTAAGATGAAAGTAATTGGTTAAAAAAAAGAAGAGGAGGAGAGACGGGAAGGAAGTTAACTGGGTAATGCAGTCTGGAAAAGGTGGGTGACAATGAAGCTGATGTGTTGAGTGAAAAGGTCTGGGTGTAGTGGGTGATGGTGTTGGGGTCGATGATGAGGATTTCAGATTTATTGCAGTTGAGTTTGAGGAAGTTCTGTTGCATCCAAGACTTTAAGTCGGTGATGGATTTGGAGGAGAGGTAAAGTTGAGTGTCATCGGCATAGCAGTGAAAATGGAGGCCATGACGGCGGAGGACTTGTAGTTGTTTATGGAGATGTATTGGTGTGTGGTGTATAACATATGTGCATTTGACCATTACAGTTTAACATAATGCTCTGCAGCTGGTGAGAGGGACAGTGAACCCTTATGGGGAAGTAATGATTGTCTGTCAGAAAGGTAGGAGTTGAGCCAGGAGAAGGCAGTGCCGGTTATGCCGAGTGAGTACTGAAGCCATGTGAGAAGGATGGAGTTGTTGATGGTGTCGAAGGCAGCACTGAGGTTGAGGAGGACAAAGACGATGAGGAATCCAGAGTCAGCACATAGAAGTATGCCATTGGTGATTTTAAGTAGGGCAGATTCTGTGCTGTTTGATGTGGAAGCCTGATTGGAATGTTTCAAAGAAGTTATTGAAGTCGAGGTGGGATTTGAGTGGAGCAGTGAAAGCTTGCTCAAGGATTTTGGAGACAAAAGGAAGATTGTTTGTTGTCAAGGTACAAGGTACAAGAGGTCGAGTCCAGGTTTTTTAAGTATGGAGGTGACAGTAGCAAGCTTCTTATCTCAATCTGCGATAGAAAGTGAATGAGCTCATTTCTGAAAATGTTAAACTATCCTTTAATTTAGATTTTCTAAAATCTCTGTAAGATTCTGGTTTTAGGGAAAACATGGGTTAATTAAAACACTTTTTACATGTTTTTTTACTGGCAAAAAGTTCACAGGCCTCCATGGAAACATTTCTGTAACTAAAATAGTTTAACTTGGACAATTAAAACAGTGTGCTTTTGTTTTTTTTCCAGAGGGCTCGTGGCACATTTTACACAACAAAATCCTGTGGGAAGCAAAAAAACAGCTTCACTCAGCAGTTCAATCCCACACTAATGCAAAGTTTGTGAGCTCACATTGTACCTTCAGCAGCTTTAAAGACCTAAACATGTGTACAGGAACTCCACAGTGCACATGTCCTATAGCTGTCCACTCTCCTCCATCAGATTGAGAGTTATCAGTTATCCAGCCCACTTGCTTAACTTACCCTTTTCTCACCTTCTTGCTGTCTCCCTTGTTACAGGTACTCTATCGACCGTCGGACTGACATGGACCGCCTGTTCAATGTGCATCCAGGGAATGGATCTGTGTTTCTGCTCAAAAGCCTGGACAGAGAGGAGTCTGCCTGGCATAATATTTCAATCATAGCTACTGAGTTCAGTAAGTCGAGCAGGGGCCAGGGGTATTTGCAGAGATGATGTGATGTGTTGGCACAGAGTAGAAATTTATGGAGCTAGACAAAATGGCTGGTACACCAGCATATCATGGACAGTTACTTATCATGGAGAGCATTCAGTGACCAGGAGTACACCACTATATATAGTATCCAGGACTGGCTGAAAGGGAAACGGTGAAAGGTCACTTCATCCCAAATTACAAAAAGACAATTGTGTTTTTTTCATGAAATTTGAGCTATTTAATTTCAGTCCAAGTTTTGAGATATTCACCACAAGATTTTTATTAGAATATCTTTTGTGATCCTCAGACCATCTAAAAATGACATTTAAAAACATAACAGCAACTTTCCAGAAACAGGGGGCTGATATTAACAGATAAGTGGTTGCTGCGGTGTAGATTATCACAGGCTGTGTTTCTACAAATCTGTAACTTCTTAGAGCCGCATCAAACACACCTATCTAACCCTATTCCACCACATGTGCGGGTACTCACCACAACTGGATTCTTTGCCACAGGAACTTTCCAAAGGGAGATATGAGACAGAGAAGGTGTGTCCAGGTCTTCCTTCCATCAGTACCATCTATTTAAACAATTCCACTCTGGAGTGTGAAAAGGAAGCTACTTGGAAATTGTTTTGTATTCCACCTTGAAAACTTTTCTTTTCTTTTGAATTATATCATCTTTATGTTTATGTGTGAGGTCAGTGGTGAAAGGTTAAAGACACAACTTAGGACCAGGAAGGAAAATGTTGAAAGCGTATGACAAGGTCCCCTTAAGCAAGGCAATGAACTGCTCAGTGGTAGCTTACAGTGTGAATGTATGGACGAGTGTGAAGGTGGACCAGGTATTAGGTTTTCCCCAACATGAAGTCTTTAAGTCTTTTCTGTGTTTGCCTTCCAGATAATCCCCGTCAGAGCAGCCATGTTCCGGTCTACATCCACCTGCTGGACATCAACGACAACGCTCCCACCTTTGCCACTGTGTATGAAACCTTTGTCTGTGAGAAGACTAAGGCTGGTCAGGTACTACAGCTTTATCACTTCACGCTTTGGATATATAGGCAGGAGGTGAGATGGGGTTCAATAGTATTTTATCTTATGAATCCAGTATCAAATCCACATATGGTGTGCATGTATAGATTCCCTTATAAAATCCACTTAAGTTAATCTCTTAAAATGTGCATATTGTTGGCTAAAAGGTTGGATACAGTTCTTTCTTTTGAGAGGTAACATACATACAACACTGTTCATAGCCAGCTACAACATCAAAATGAGTTGAGGAGCAAAAGATATGAAGTGTTGATTAGCTTTGTATCTGACACACTGAAGTAACAGCTGGGAGCCTACTCACTTTAGAACATCTTACTAGAACATCTTACTTTTCATGAGGTAGTTGATAAGCTTAAATGCATGATATGATATGCGTGCGTGTAACTGGAAGACTGACTCCTGAGAATGGAGCGATCAATGAGATTGTTTCACCAGAGAAGACTCACCACTTTGTTGGTTTTGCTGAATGGCAAAATGAGTGCAGCACACTCATGAACATAAAGTGGTGTTGGCTGAGTGCAAACACTGGCTTGGGTGTGGTCTTTGTCAAGATGTTCACAGCTGATATAATCTACCCACAGGGTAATATTTAATAGAGTGAATTTGTTACCCTCATAGCTTAGCAAATTTTTACTATTTTACCTGGAACCCTTTGGTAACCTGCCATTCCCACTCTGCATCAGCTAGCAGCTGAGGATTGCAGGGGGCTGTTCAGTTGAATGTGTTAGTCTAATCTGCCTGACTCATTGATCCTTTATCTGACTGAGGTTTGTGCAAGTTAGCATTTATGGCCCCCGACCTCGGCTCTGAAATACCAGCAGCCTAGCTGTGCTCTGTATTGATGACGCCTGGCACTGTCCGTGGTGCTGAAGTAGCAGACTGATTTGTAACTGCAACTTTCTGTCAGTTTATCAAACTGTTTGTTGTAAACATCCACAACTTCCTGGTCCAACTTTGATCTACTATGCGTACTATAGTTTTACATACGCAGTTTTCCTGGGCGATGAAGAGTTATCAGGCACACTCATTAAGTTTGACCCCTAAATTAAGTGGTTAAGATAGTCTGGATAAAATGTTGATTTGTATGAAACCTGTCTGATTGTCTGACTGCTCATGTTTGTTGATCCATTGTCCATGTTAATAGATCTCGCAGCAATGCTCTAGTCAGTGTTATCAGAATATAAACAATGGACAAAGTTTTAGGGCTGTGTCGAGAAATACTAAAGGCATGAGAACACCACCTTTTGAAAATAGTGGCACCAAAAGCAATTTTATTATTGATACCATTATGGGACATACACTCATTGGCCACTTTATTAGGAACACCTTGCTAGTACCAGGTCAGACCCCCTTTTGGGGGGATGGACATGGTCAGCAACAATACAGGAAGGCTGTCGCATTTAAACAATGCTCAGTTGGCACTAAGGGGCCAAAAGTGGGCCAAGAAAATATCCCCCACACCATTACACCACCACCACCAGCCTGAACCGTTGATCCATTCAGGATGGATCCATGCTTTCATGTTGTTTACGCCCAATTCTGACCCTACCATCTGAATGTTGCCGCTGAAATCGAGATTCATCAGACCAGGCAATGTTTTTCTAATCTTCTATTGTCCCAATTTTGGTAAACCTGTGTGAATTGTAACCTCAGTTTCCTGTTCTTAGCTGACAGGAGTGGCCCCTGTTGTGGTCTTCTGCTGCTGTAGCCCATCTGCTTCAAGGTTTGACATGTATTCTGCATACCTTGGTTGTAATGAGTGGTAATTTGAGTTACTGTTGCCTTTCTGTCATCTCAAACCAGTCTGCCCATTCTCCACTGACGTCTGACATCAACAAGGCTTTTTTGTCCACACAACTGCCGCTCACTTGATATTTTCTATTTTTCTGACCATTCTCTGTAAACCCTAGAGATGGTTGTGCGTGAAAATTCCAGTAGATCAGCAGTTTCTGAAATACTCAGACCAGCCCGTCTGGCACCAACAACCATGCCACATTCAAAGTCAATTAAATTCCCTTTCTTCCCCTTTCTGACGCTCAGTTTGAACTTTGAACCAGCAAGTTGTCTTGACCACGTCTACAGGCCTAAATGCATTGAGTTGCTGCCATGTGATTGGCTGATTAGCTATTTGTGTTAACAAGCAATTGAACAGGTGTACCTAATAAAATGGTCAGTGGGTGTACTTATATGACATAGCAAGTGCAAGAGGCTAAAGTGAGATTGAAATCCCTGTTAATGTGTAGAAACACAGCAACAACAAACTGCTACATGAATCAGGAACATTTTGTTATCATGGATGTTACACAGCACATTGTTTTTTAGCCATGTACTAATGAAATTATTGACATAGGTCATTTTAAATTTGCTTCCCCTCCAGCTTCCTCACTGACTGACTTCACTGTCTGGGAAACAACCTCTGTAATATTGAATATTTCAGTCAAAACTCTAAATTTAAATGCTTTTAACAGTGCTTAGTGTGATTGTACTCTGCTGTAATACCACTTGATTCATCACATAGTGTATGGGTGGAGCTAATGTGATTAAATTACACAAGCTTATAGATGCGTACATACTGTACACACACAGAAACACACACTCCTGCAGCTGTTAAGCTGATTGGCTGTGCTACTGGACCCCACTCGGCTTCGTCTTTTGAGGTGGCTGACGAGATAATCTGTCATGGACGCTGACAGGATCTTTCACACGTGGAGTATTGTAAATAGGGTTTTACACACACACACACACACACACACACACACACACACATACATACATAGACAAATATATCATGCATCTGATATCAAGGAACAAATAAAACAATAAGAACACAAATCTGTATGTATAATCACACACACACACACACACACACACACGCACGTAACAGAGGAAATTTATATTTAAAACACAAAACAAAAGTAGGTGCAACTACGATATGCTGATACCACAGACAAGCACAAACAAAATCATCTTGACATTCTTCAGTATGGTGGCTTGCTGCCATTTGTGTCCTCACGGGCCTGTCATCCTGCCATCTTTCCGTCCTTTAATTCCTCTGCCCTTTCATCTGTCCATCAGCGTTAATCATCAGTATTTTTTCGTCGGATATCCTTGCATGCTTCCCCCAGGCACTGGATTTGTTCGGTGTATGTGTGTATGGTTATGAGTTACTGGCACATATATTTGTTAAATCCATTCAATTAAATAAGATTGTAGTTATAAAGTAGAAAAGATACACGTAGAGCCCCCAGTGGAGAAATGGCAGGAATATGCAGCTCAGTCACTCAGAGCTTCTGGAGTTCATTGCTATGGTTTTTTTTCTTCCTCAGAGCTGCATTCATTGATTATTCGTTTTTGGCCAAACACCACGTCAACATATCAGCACCTTCTAAAGTCATTATGTAGTGTTTGTGTCTAATATATAAGTCTTTAACTGCGAAGCACTCTATTATGTTCAGCAGCTAGTAGCAGGTAGTGAACAGTGGGTTTAACCAAAGTTTTTATAGGCAAGCCCCGCCACTCAGCAGCCATCTTGGTAACACCTTCAAGCGGTTACTTCGGACTAAGAAGACCAAGCCCCATCTAACTTAATGCGGATAGAGCCATAAACTGCACTTTCACTGGTCACCTGGACATAAAAACGGCGTGCTGCTGCTGGAAACACAGGGAACCAAAACAATGATCTAAAAGACTCCATAGAGCTGAGGGGAAGTGTGTTAAGTGACACATATCTGAGTGCTGGGCACTAGGAGGAACCTCTTTCACAGTACACACAGTCATTTGATCCATTGCCAATATACAAATATTGATTAGTGCAATTCCCATAATGCATTGCAAGCCATGCTTTGCTTGTCTTAGCATTTTCCATAAGAGTTAAAGAGGAAGTTCTGAAGCAAACTCTAGTGGTTGGTAAAAGGCTTTAAATTGGCATTCCATCCATTTCCATCATTCTGTCAGGTCTGTTTTATAAAGTCAAAGTACAGTAAATGGAGTTGGTGAGCTTGCTGAAAAGTCATAGGTGTTGAAATTGACCGTTGTCTTGTTATGTAGACACATTTTAGATGAACGATAGGATAGCGCTCATTGCTAATCTCACTGACAAACACATTGCATTTCCTGTGACTACTTCATAATAAAAGTCAACTTGTGTTTCGCCAGTTAAATGTTTTAATGTGAAGCTGCAGCAGTGGAAATGTTGGTTTGCTTTAGTACTAATTTAATACAGTATTTTTTCTGGAACAACCTGTTATATAATAATATATACATTTTACAATACTTTCAGTGGGCTATAGGCCACCATTATGTTACTTCATTCGGTGATTAAATTAGTTTAAGGTGAAATGTATCTAAAGTTGACATCAAGTGCGAGGTCAGATTCTTTCTATTGTATTTCTAACTTTCATATGTATTTTATTGTGCTAATATTCCTTATTTAACACTGATTTATGGAGTAGGTCACATATTATGTTAAATAAAAAACTTGTTTTCATTTGATATCTAAATGTCATGTTGTTGTAGTCTTGGTACAAAAACTCAAGGGTTGTATCTGCATCAACATACCAAGCCCTATTGTTGCTTTTTTACAATCTCATTATTGAAGCCCATATTCCACACTGAAGTCATGGTTTCCCAACACCCTGAAGCTCACTGAGATTCCACTGAGACGTCTTGTCAATTTTAGTTAGTTTAAAGCGATTCCCCACCATAAATCTTTGTCTTTGGAGTATAAAGTGCGCACCCTCTGTAGACTTGAAAGATAGCAGTAAGATGTTTGTAGCGAGCTTCTTCACAGGGAACAGCAGCTGTGCTTGAAACACAATGGATCCCAATGGTGACACATTTACGCTGTGGGGAAAAAGGTCACAAAACACCCAGAGAAACTTCTGAAACCACTGCTGTAGCATAATCAACTTTACCGTTGTCAATCCAGTGTCCAATCAGTGTGATCCAAACACTTGTTGTAAAGGTAAAAAAAAAGAAAAAGAAAATATGAGAAATACTGAAGGATAGCATAGAAATGATGTCACAATGTCAAATAGAAAATAGCTCTACGTGGTTACATAACCATTTCTAGCTGATAATTGTCTAAAACAGTAACATGTTAAAGAGATCATATTCTGCTTTTGGGGGTTTTCCCTTTGCTTTATTGTGTTATATATCTTTTTGTGCATGTAATAGGTTTGCAAAGTGAAAAAACCCCAAATCCACTTTCTCCCACAGAAAACACTGCTCCTGAACCGCCTGAAAACAACTCGACTGTAGTCCAGCCTTTACTTCTGAAACGTATCCGTGTCACTATGAAACATGCGTCATTGTTGAGCAGTTTCTACAAGTACTCCTAAATATGAAATTAAATTAACATTAGATACTCTGTAGAGAAAGTGCAAAGTAACTTACCACTCTGAAACATCTTGCTCCAGTCTAGGTTGCAAAGCTGGTTCAGGTTGTTCTGCCTGTGTTTTGGGATCAGGCTTGGGCTCAAACATGTTTGACTGAACCAAAGCTGTGGTTACCAGCTGAAGCGACTTTGTTTTGGAACACACTACCTTGCTTGTCAGGACCCGCCTCACTCTTCTGATTGGCTAGTAGTCCTTAACTAGGTACTGCGCATGTGCAACTCCCAACAAAGATCAAATAGAAGTGAGATGCTTCACTCTGTAGCTAAAACGGAGCGTTCAACACACAGACCTCTTCAAGTGTAATGACAGAAAGAGCAAAGTGTGGATTAACAGCATTGTTATAAAGCAACAACACAGGAACTTGATGAAGGGAAAACGTAAATGCATAACGTGTATATCAGAAACCTGACACACTACATAGAAGAGTAGTAGTAGTAGTAGTAGCAGCTTCATGGCTTATGTAGCACAGACACCAGTGATCCTGATAATAATCGAGCTGATCTGTTGGCAGCTTCACAGCACAGACAGTGAGGACAGCAGTGTGTCCTGTCACTATGAATAGAACCTAACCCTGCCAGTCTTTTTCCATTCACTGACTGCTCTTAATTCACTTACCTCCACCGGGATGTTCATGTTAATGGTTGTTGGTGTCTCTGACAGCGGATCCAGACAGTGAGTGCAGTCGATGCTGATGAGCCGTCAACAGGACACAAGTTTTTCTTTAGCCTGGCTCCTGAGGGGACCCACCGCAGCAACTTCACAGTCCGAGACAATGGAGGTAGGAAACACTTCCCCCGGCACAGACTTACTGATTATTGACATTTGATAAAAGTGCCTTAAATTAAATGGTAAATGGACTCTACTGACATATATATGGAGCCTGTCTATTCTTCTGACCACTCAAAGCACTTAACAATATGTGTCACATTCACACAGGCATTACCCAGTGGCATTTACCCAATGTGAACTGCTTCAGCAACATTCAGAATGGGTATTTTTAGCTTTTCCCATTGGTGATCATTGTAAAAAAAAAAAAAAGAACAAAAAAATCAGTCATCCCTCACCCATGAATGTATTTGCTGCAGCATTGTGTACAGTCTCTGTTATCATCATACATACATACAAATCCTGGCTGACCACAGTCGAACTATAGCCATTCTGTTCACACAAAGTCAAATCAGCGTTATTGTGATATTTCAAATTTAGTGATTATGATCCAGAAATTTTGACTTTGATATACAGGTGGGGCATATATATATATATATTTATTTGATATTGATACAGTTTATCAAGTCAATATTTCTTTTTGATTGTAGTGCAGTTTTACATTTTTTGTTTACAAATTCATGTTGGCACAGCAGCAAGGAGGAATGTAAAGAACATAATACAATAACAGTAGAATCAGTAACATTCTATGTATAAATAATATACACACTGTATATACCCTATATACAATCAATATACAATTACTGTGCTGCCCCAGCTCAGCATAGACAGGATGGTTGACCATGATGGCTTTCAGCTTTCTCTCATTCTCCTCCCAGTCACTGTCTGTACACTGTCCAGCATCCCCGCCACCGAACTGGCCTTCCTTCTGGTTTAAAGTAGGGATGGGGGGTTGTATGTTATCTAGCAATGTACCCTGTCAGTTCAGCCCAAAGTTGCAAAACAGATACACCCCATGCTTTGTCTCCTTGTGAGATAGAATCAGCCACTTCTGCCGAGTGGACCCACACTTTTCATTCCCAGCTGATAATGAAGTGATTTTTATTCACACCTCCACTGTATGACGAAGTGTCGCACACGCTGTGCACTGCAGGTGTGCTACGATGATATTCTAACTGAACTTTCTCCTAATCAGATAACACCGCTGGCATCCTGACACGTCGATCTAGCTACAGCCGTCTTCACCAGAGCATCTACCTGGTTCCCGTGGTGATCACCGATGGAGACTACCCCATGCAGAGCAGCACAGGCACCCTCACTGTGAGGGTGTGCACCTGTGACCGTGAAGGCAACATGGAACTGTGTAATGCAGAGGCTCTGAGCAGCTCTCCTGGTCTCAGCACCGGAGCTCTCATTGCCATCCTCTTGTGTGCCATCATACTGCTGAGTAAGTATGGGAAAATGCACAGTCTTTGTTTGTGTGTATCACAGACCAAATAAAATGATTGTCTGGGCTTATTACAGTCCTTATTACAGCCATACATACCATTTTAGACTTTGGACTTTGTTTGACAGTTCAGAGTATACTAATTCAATTCAATTTATTTATATAGCGCCAAATCACAACAACAGTTATCTCACAGCGCTTTTCATAAAAGAGCAGGTCTAGACCGTACTCTGTGATGTTATTTACAGAAGCCCAACAGTTCCCACCAAGAGCAAGCACTAGGCGACAGAGGCAAGGAAAAACTTCCTTTTAATTCAATTCAATTCAATTTTATTTATATAGCGCCAAATCACAACAACAGTTATCTCACAGCGCTTTTCATAAAAGAGCAGGTCTAGACCATACTCTATGATGCTATTTACAGAAGCCCAACAATTCCCACCAAGAGCAAGCACTAGGCGACAGAGGCAAGGAAAAACTTCCTTTTAAGAGGCAGAAACAGAGAGGAACAGAGAGAGAGAGAGCAGGAGAGGAACAGAGAGAAAAAAGGAAGGAAGGATGGAAGGAGAGAGAGGGGAGGGAGGCAGCCTACACAATATACACACACAGAGGTACAGACAGTAAAGGTGATGTTGCTATAGACTAAATGAAAAATGGTATAGATATGTACATATCCTCTCCCTCTGTTTTCTCTGAACCCCTGCCACATCTGACCAGTGATGACATGTATAGCCACATGTCGTCATTCCGCCGCTGGTTATCGAGGTGGTGTCCAGCAAACGATGTGGGCTTTGTAGATCATTGGCAGACTTTCTGGGGAAGACCTGGTCTGATTCGGAAAGACAGAACCCTTCCAACTTGGGAAGGAGAAGCTCTCATTTCTAGAAATCGGGCCAAGTTTATTAGTGGACCAAATCCATGACAACCCAGAGTTGAGACCAGGACGCAGAGTCGCAGTCTAACACACTTCTCTGCTCCTCCATTTCAGGAGTTACTTAGTGAAAATCCTATAGTGACGGTGTCTGTCCCCCGACCATTGAAATTATTTAAAAAGGTAAACAGAAGAGGAGCTGTGCATAAAAACCTCATAAAAATTAAAACCACAAGAGCAATAGTGCAAACGAATAGGAGAGTTAAATGTGGACTCTTAAACATCAGATCTCTCTCTTCTAAAGGTGTACTAGTAAATGAACTAATATCAGATTATGATATTGATTTATTTTGTCTTACTGAAACCTGGCTGGGTGATGGAGAATATGTTAGCCTAAATGAATCCACCCTTCCCAGTCATATTAATACTCACATTCCTCGAGGCACAGGCCGAGGAGGTGGACTTCGACTCTAGGTTATTAATCAACTCTAAACCTAAACTAAACTATAACTCATTTGAAAGCCTTGTTCTTAGTCTTTCGCACCCAAGTTGGAAATCACTGCAACCAATTCTTTTTGTTATAGTGTACCGAGCACCTGGCCCGTACTCTGAATCCTTATCTGAATTCTTGTCAACTTTAGTTCTTAAAATGGACAAAGTTATTATTGTATTGTTATTACTGCGTTTATCTCTGTTTTAGATTCCATTGGCTTCTCTCAGAGTGTTCATGAACTGACTCACTGTTTTAACCACACCCTCGACCTTGTTTTGGTGTATGGTATTGAAATTGAACATTTAATAGTGTTCCCACAGAATCCCTCTTTATCCGACCACTGTTTGATAACTTTTGAGTTTGTATAGCTGAACTACACGCCATTGGGCAAAAATTTCTATACAAGATGTCTGTCTGATAGTGCTGTAGCTAAATTTAAGGATGCGATTCCATCAGCTCTAAATTCATTATCAAGTCACAGAGTAACAGAGGACTCCTATGCTAATTTCAGTGCCTCCCAAATCGATCATCTTGTTGATAGTGCAGCAGGCTTGCTGCGAATGACACTCGACTCTGTAGCCCCTCTAACTAGGTTGCTATTGCTAATAGGTCTCCTATTGCAGAGACTGGAACATTTCATTGGCATTAAAGGAACCGCTCTAAGCTGGTTTAAGTCCTATTTATCAGATCGATTTCAGTTTGTACATGTTAACGATGAGTCCTCCATGAACGCCAAAGTTAGTCATGGAGTTCCTCAAGGATCTGTCCTCGGACCAATCCTGTTCACTTTATATATGCTTCCTTTAGGCAATATTATCAGGAAATATTCCATAAACTTTCATTGTTATGCAGATGATACTCAGTTATATCGATCAAGCCAGATGAAACTCATCAGTTAGCTAAACTTCAAATGTGCCTTCAGGATGTTAAAACCTGGATGACCTGTAATTTTCTAATGTTAAACTCCGATAAAACTGAAGTTATTGTTCTGGGGCCTAAGCACCTCCGTGACGCATTATCTAAAGATATAGTTTCCCTTGATGGCATCGCCCTGGCCTCCAGCACCACTGTGCTGACATGTCGTTTAAGTCTCACATTAAGCAAATTTCAAGGACCGCCTGAGACTTAACAGTACTGGAAGAACATATGGGAGAAAGAGGCATCCCACAACACCAATGCTCAGTGGCTAGTGGATCTAAGAACAGATCACAGCAATCTCCCACAACAAGATCCAGAAACCATTACAACGGCAGAAATGAGCGAGACATCAACTCACTGATCCACACTACCAGGATCTACAGAATGCCGTTCGGACTGGACAAGTGTGGTCGCATGGTATCAAAAAGAGGGAAAATTATCAGAACCGAGGGGATTGAACTACCAGAAGGCCACATTGCAGATTTTCAGGACAGCTACAAATACCTAGGGGTGCTGCAGGCTAACGGAAACCACGAAGAGGCTGCAAGGAAGGCCGCCACAGCCAAATACCTACAGAGAGTAAGGCAGGTCCTGAAAAGTCAGCAGGAAAAACAAGATCTGAGCCATCAACACATACGCTCTGCTAGTTAACAGATACCCTGCTGTTATAATAAACTGGCCAAAGGAGGAGATTGAGGCCACTGACATCAAGACAAAAAAGCTCCTCACAATGCATGGAGGGTTTCACCCCAAATCCAGCACCCTGAGACTGTACACCAAGCGTAGTGAGGGAGGCCAAGGGCAAGTGAGTGTCAAGACCACTGTCCAGGATGAAACGACAAAGATCCAGGAGTACATCAGGAAGATGGCCCCCAAAGATGAAGGGCTTAGTGAATACCTCAGGCAGCAGAAACCCGAGGGTGAGGACAAGGAAGAACCTTCATGGAGGGACAAGCCGCTGCAAGGCTTGTACCACAGACAAATAGAAGAAGTGGCTGATATCAAGAAATCCTACCAGTGGCTGGAAAAGGCTGGACTGAAGGACAGCACAGAAGCACTAATCATGGCGGCACAGGAACAGGCACTCAGTACAAGATCAATAGAGGCTGGGGTCTACCACACCAGGCAAGACCCCAGGTGCAGACTGTGCAAGGAAGCCCCTGAGACAGTACAGCACATAACAGCAGGGTGTAAGATGCAGGTAAGAAGTGCGTACATGGAATGCCATAACCAGGTAGCCGTCATAGTGTACAGGAACATCTGCCATGAGTATGGGCTGGAAGTCCCAAGGTCAAAATGGAAGACACCTCCTAAGGTAGTTGAGAATGACCGAGCTAAGATCCTGTGGGACTTCAAGATCCAGACTGAGAAACTGGTGATGACTAACCAACCAGACATCGTGTTGATCGACAAACGGCAGAAGAAGGCTGCAGTGATAGATGTGGCAATCCCAAGCGACAGCAACATCAAGAAGAAGGAACACGAGAAGCTTGAGAAATACCAAGGGCTGAAAGAAGAGCTAGAAAACATGTGGAAAGTAAGAGCAACAGTGGTGCCAGTGGTAATCGGAGCACTGGGGGCTGTGACCCCCAAACTGGGAAAGTGGCTACAGCCGATTCCAGGTAAAACATCAGAGGTCTCTGTCCTGAAGAGTGCAGTCCTAGGAACAGCTAAGATACTGCACAGAACCCTCAAACTCCCTGGCCTCTGGTAGAGGACCCGAGCTTGAGGATGACACATACCAGAGAGGGGGATTTAAATTTTTTTTTTCATCCTTATGCTACTGGAATTATGAAAACTAATGTGACAGAAATTAAATTATAAATAGGTAGGCCTGCACAACATGTAGCCCATGTACGAACACACTGTCTGCCCGGTGAAGCCATTGTGCTTTCTCATTTGCTGTAATGGAAAGCAATATTGGTTCAGAGCTGCAGTCTGCTGCTGCTCGTCAGAACCAAACTACATGAAATGAATGCATCTCATCTGCCACCACATCCCCCCTTATCCTCTTATTCATGCAGCGGACACAGTCCAGTGGGCCGCCAGGAAAATGAATACATATTTATGCCTCTGAAGGTGGACTCATTGCAGACTTAGTGGATACACACCAGTGACGCTGTAAGACAATCAGAGCTGAGCTGCTGAGACAGAGTCAGTCATGTCAATGTCATACTAAATGCTGCCCAGCATTCATGGGTTTTGTTTTGCAAGTTGAATGGCCAGGATCATTTATATCTAATAGTTATTATCAACACTATACACTAATTGTAGAACATTTTACAGACAGCAAACTTGAACACCAGCACAATCGAGAACACTAACATTTTAAAAGTATTAATGGACAGCAAGAAAAAGTAATGTTAAACTGCACCATTGTTTTGTAACGCTAAACACAAACAGATGGATAAAACAAATGCAGGACAGACGGATAAAACAAATGCAGGACGTTAATCACCACAGTACATTTCAATGGTGCAAGATGCAATAAGGTGCAGGACAGTATCATATGATGCAGTGGGAGTATGACACAATAAGAGAACCATGATGTACATTTGATGCAGTACCGTAACGCTGAACACTACACAATATGACAAAGTACAATACGATACCTAAGGAAACTACTAAACTATATGATATGACACTATACAATGCGATACAATACAGTATGTTACAACGGTACGACATGATATAACACTGTAGGATAAAATACAACATAGCATACAATGATACAACGATACAACAATGATAATGACAATGATACAACGCAACACTCATCATAATCATCTTCAACCGCTCATCTGCGCAGGGTCGTGAGGAGGCTGGAACTTATCCCTGCTGACATTGGGCGAGAAGCGGGGTATGCCATGGACAAGTCGCCAGTAAATCACAGGGCTGACACAGACAGACAACCATTCTCACACACACATTCACACCTAAGGGCAATTTAGAGTCTCCAATTAACCCACACATCATTGGACTGTGGGAGGAAGCTTGAGCACCCAGAGAGAACCCTCGCAATATAATACTGATACTGATAATGTATTACAATATGATATGATACAACATGACAGGGTAGGATACCACAGGAGGAGCATGTTTTAAATAAAGCTAATATTGTAACGCCACAACTGGTTACGACACTGTATACAATATAGTATGATGAGATACCATACAATATGACCAGATGCAACATGACATGGTACTATATCATACAAAATACAATGTACAACCCTAATAAGACATGTTTGTCTCTTTGTCAGGCACATGGGTAAAAATGTTAATTTCCATTACAATGTGTTGAATGAGGGTGAGTCTCAACAAAAAGTTTTTGATAATTCATCCTTTGGATAGGTCATAAGTGATATGAAGGTGAATCACTACGCTTACATGGAGTATAAGTCGTCCCCAAGCAGCAACCTCCAGGGCTGAAAAGTGGAGCCAGGGCGAAGTGCCAAAAATGAGAAGGCTTGGCTCGCTGATTCATCCCAAAGGTGTTCTATCAGGTTGGGGTCAGGACTCCATGTCTTTATGGACCTTGCTTTGTGCACTGGTGCGCAGTCATATTGGAACAGGAAGGGGCCATCCCCACACTGTTTACACACAGTTGGGAGCATGAAATTGTCCAAAATGTCTTGGTCACTGGAACTAAGGGGCCAAGCCTAACAACAACTATTGTTACTAGTCCTATTGTTATTATGATTGTTATCATTAACACTACTATAAATATCTGTACCATTTTTCATTTAGTCTATAGCAACATCACCTTTACTGTCTGTACAACTGTGTGTATATTATGTAGGCTGCCTCCCTCCCCTCTCTTCCATCCCTCTCTTTTTCTCTCTTTTTCTCTCTGTTCCTCTCCTGCCCTCTCCCTCTCTGTTCACTGCATCCGACGCTTTGCATTGCACTTGGTGATGTAGGCTTTGGACGCAGCTGCTCTTCCATGGAAACCCATTCCATTAAAGCTCTCTGGGCACTGTTTTTGAGCTAGTCCGAAGGCCACACGATGTTTGGAGGTCTGTAGCTATTGATAATTTCATTGGAACTGTACAAGGGGTACATTGTTATATATTTCACCGTCTTAAATTTTATTAAGGCTTAAAGTTATGCATCATTAACCCTTTCATGCATGAATTATTAAATCACAAAGTAATTAAAAAATTATACCTATGAACTTTATTGCTCAGTATCTATCCATCCATCCATCGTCAACCGCTCATCCTGTGTACAGGGTCGCGGGGGGCTGGAGCCAATCCCAGCTTACATCGGGCGAAGGGCGGGGTACACCCTGGACAGGTCGCCAGTCCATCGCAGGGCTATTGCCCAGTATATTTTATTAAAAAATGTGGACACCATGCATCAACGGCATAAAAAGTGATTTAATGGAACTCAAAAAAACTATGTTTAAAACATTTACTAAAAGCAAGTGGTATGAATACACAAAGTTATTCAAGTGTAAATTATGTCGTAATTTTAAATAAAACATACAAAATTAGGCGGAATCCACATAGGCAGAATGTTTTTTTTACATCTTATTTAGTTGAAAAATAGTACCCTCCACTATTTTGAATTTATCATGCAATATATCAAAATGACAGAGATGTAAGGATAATAATCAAATGGAATTGTAGACCACACTTTGCCAGTCCGCCATGTGGTGGTTGGATACTATTACTTAAATGTGTCAAAATGGCTTCCAAATATCTCTCCACTGTAGTGGATGTCATGCTCAGCCGGGAGCATGGTTAGTTCACTTAGTAGAATGCTCACCCCATGTACAAGGCTGGGTCCTTACTGCAGTGGCCAGGGGTCGAGTCCTGCCCTTTGCTGCAAGTTACCCCGTCTCTCTTCGCGTTTTCTACAGATATCCACTGTCCTGTCTCTCAAATAAAAGGCCAAAAAGGATTAGCCAGAGTCAGGGACTGCTAAGAGGGGATGGCCACAATGGCTCTTTAGAAACCTGTGGGTGACGTCACATAGACTTGTGTCCATGTCTATGGTCGTCCCCCAGAACTGGGGTTTATTAATACCATCATTATTCTCGCAGACAGCCCAAAATGGAATTTTTCATGTAAGAAGATAGATGTGGATATATAATAGCCAGCAGTTCTAAAATGAACTGATGGTGAACTCCAGTGCAGACTGCAGCTCATATTCAGCTACAATAGCTCTTCATGTGCTCTCAACTGGAATGAACACCGGAGAAGACAAATGACATGCCCATCATCCTCCTCTATAGTTGATCTCATTACTAAGTCCTGTTGTTCAGGGTGGACTTGAACCAAATACAAAAATACAGCTTTTCAACTAATGTTCTCACCAAAGAAGATACATCACAGGTATTATCTCTGATAACACTGCCTTTGGTTTTGCAAATGGTTTTCTTAATAAAATCACAGTGTCTAATTATATTTAACATGCTAATCAAAACACAGCCTGAAGCTGTAATGTTTTAGTAACACTGATATGCATATGAATGTATTCCTAGCCACTATAACCATCACATTAGTATTTTATTTTTCTTCATATATCTTCCAGCAGACCAATTTGGCTCTCTCTCCCCTGTACACACTGCATAGTAACTGCCTACTTTATCTTTAAAAAATATTCCTCCTTTTGTATTTTTATATCTACATTTACGTTTCCCTTCACACCACAGCTCCTGTTCCTTTGCAGACATTTCCTGCTGTAATTTGAGACACTACCGTGAGTGATTTCAGGCCTGACCTGAACTCTGCTTCTGTTCTTTCTTGTTGCCACCGTGGTCTTAACTTGATTTAAATTCAAACGGACCTCCATGAGCTTGGCCAATCAGATGTTCTGCATGATTACTTATGGCTGAGCCCTCTCTGAAATCAAAGGCTGCTGTCCTTTTTTGTCTGCCTGTAAGCAGCCATCATGTTTTCACACTTGTTTGTGATAACATCCACATATTGTTGTTAGAGTCTGAATCAATATGAGCTATAGTTCACAAGAATGCACTCTGACTTCAAGTGGTGTTCCATTGTACTTTTCTTGTTGGAGGTTGGAAATTTCTGAGTGGCCTGGAATGCACCATGACTTTGTAGCGATGTCAACATGATCACAGATCCAAGCAGTTCACTTGAGTACAATGTTGCAGTCACCAATAAAAGCAATTATTATCTGTCCTCGCTGACTGTATGTTCTGAACATGCTCTTCACTTTAAAATGGTCTAATCCCATATCTTTCTGCTGTTGTCTCCTGCAGTGATCGTGGTTCTGTTCACAGCGTTGAAACGCCAAAGAAAGCAGGAACCTCTCATCATCTCCAAGGAGGATGTCCGGGACAATGTGGTGAGCTACAACGACGAGGGCGGAGGGGAGGAGGACACCCAGGCTTTTGACATCGGAGCACTGCGACATCCAGACGCTGCGGCCGCCTTGGAGGACTCTGCCAAACAAAGGCGTGACATCATGCCCACTGACACCCTGCTGTACCCACAACGCTGCTGCCCTGCCCCCGCCATCTCCAGCCTCATCATGCCGCCAGTCTGCAGACCATCACGGAATAACGGGGACGTACGCGAGTTCATCAATCAGAGAGTGCTGGAGAATGACTGCAACCCCACTGCACCGCCATACGATTCCCTGGCTACCTATGCCTACGAGGGAGCAGGCTCAGTGGCCGAGTCGCTGAGCTCACTGGGCTCAGCGTCATCTGAGGCTGAGCAGGACTACCACTACCTGAGTGAATGGGGGCCTAGGTTCAGGAAACTAGCAGACCTGTACGGGGCTGAGGACAGTGACTTCTCCTAACAAAGATTTTGACCAATGGACAGCAACATCTAACCACAAACTCAGATTGTTACTGATGAGCTTGTGAGAACCTTTTAAAATACAGATGACACACCCCACATGAAGAACCAACAGATGTGCTGGCAGATTCTGTTTAATGAGAAGAACGCTGCCTGATCTTTGACCTGAATCCATGTACAGGGGTACATGGATTGAAAAATGCTTACTAAGGCGTTTTCAAAAGGGACTCAAGTCTTAAATATCTGATTTTGGGAATGACAACTAATTGATGTAGAAATGTAAATTAACCAGCAGGACTTGAGAGCACAAAATGCTTCAGTTCCGCCAGTGTGAACCTCTTTAAAGGCTAACTTCAGGCCTGAAAGGACTTTTGAATCCAGACTGAATTTTGTATTGAGAATTTGACTTTTAATGATTCAGGCTTTGCTTTAATATCTCCTTGGTTACCAAATAATTACATGGCAGAGTGTTTCTTGTGGCTTTACATGTGCCGTTCAAGGCAAACTGAAGAAGAAAGCGTTGGGGAACCAGGTCAACAAAACCCCAGTGTAGTTATTTTAGGACCGGATAACAAACAATTACCTCTGCACATATGAAGTGAAGAGTGTGGGGAAGACATGTATTTTTCTCTTTTTGACTAAGTGCCCTTCTGCTTCCCTTCAAGCTGAGCTGTGGAGGCCTGTAGGTTGGCTGACACTGGAGGGGGCTAATGACTCCTACATGACCGCTTTTTGTCTTTTTTGCTGTCTTGTACAAAAGGACCATTCCAGAGGAGCCGAAGGATCCTCGCCTGAATATTGCCTTCTTCGGGACACAGAGTAAAAAGAAAACAAGTCATATGAGTAAATGCACTGATTTCTTTATGTTTTACGCAGGTTTGAAACTTTTTTTATGCTGCACACAAAAAGAGGATAATGTTCATGGCATCATTTCCAGTTTATAGCTCTAGATTATGTGTACACTGTGTCACAAATGTGGTTGATCTGAGGTATACTGGGAGTATACCAAGTTCTATATATATTTCATTTCTTTTTCTATAACAAAACTTCAGATATAACACATGATGTTGAACAATGATAAATAAAGCGTTGATAATATGTTTCATATTTACATGAGGGAAATGGGGAAGCCCTTCCTTCACAGTAGAGCTGTCACTTTTTATTCAAAAATTCCAAATACTGTTGGAGTGTGAATGAACTTACCAAATTACAAGTGTTTCACATCAAGCCATTTCTTATAATATTTCTATAATATCAATGGATCAAATGACTACATTGAATTTGGAAGAGGAGTGTGCAGGCGTTAATGCTCAATTGCCAGATGTGGCCTATACAAGGGTCTGCGCTAGACGGAGCCACGGTAAATGAAAAAACTCCACAAAAGCCATTATTGTACATGTGGCTCTTCCTCCTCTACATTGCCATCATCTGCGATTTTATTTCAACAATAAACACATTTAAAATAGAAAAAAAAGATACAATTTGACTAGATAGCCTACTTAACTATGACAGAAGCACAAAAATAAAGGATAACTGACCAAATGAACAACATCTGAATAAGTTATCAAAATAAGACAGGCATAACGCTCTTATTCTGAAGTCCTCTATGTGGAATATGAAGCCGTGCAGAGAAAGAAACAAAACGTGATCGGTAGTAGAAGCACAAGAAAATACAAATAAATAAGTCAACAACATGGAACAGACAAAACACACAGCCACAATGCTGTTCACGCTGAAATGTAGAAATATGACCATCAGAAAAGTAAGGAAACAATAAAACATAACATCATAAAACAGTAAATATTCAGACCATAACGGACCTTAAAAATACAGGATTGCAGATTTTGGATAGCACGAGGCGAGACAAAGGCGAGTTTGAATAATAGAGTCTTCAGCAATTTTTTAAGTTGGCAACAGAGACCGCAGAACATATGTCTAAAGAAAGAACGACCAATTCAAAGACATGATCACTTTTTTTAGTCGAGCATGAGGAACCTAAGTGGCCTAGTAGATAGAAGGGTGAAGCAGGTCAGAGATCAACATAGGGGCTAGGGTTAGCCATTCGGGGCCCTACATGTGAAAAGAAGAAGCTTAAAAAAAAACTTGATAGGAAGCCAATTTAAAGACAATGTTACTAACCTAGATCACTCTGTGTGGACAGCAACAAACAGTTACAACCTGACACCATATTACAAACTACATGTGCTGAAAAAATATATTCAATATGTGAATTAATAAACAGCATTTACTTTATTATTGTTATTATTTCTTTATGTACTGGTTTATCTGCTTATGTTTAATTAGCCCTCCCTTGTGTCTCATTCACAGACAGAGGTTTTGTTGTTAAATGTTGTAATTGACCGACACTGGAAGCAGAACATTTATCACCTGCTTTGATATCACAGCACTGAAGCAAAACGTCAGAATCAAAACAGACAACCTCGATGCAACATTAAAAACAACATCAGCATCCAAGTGAGGGATGAACCCATGAGGTGAACATCATTTACTGATCCAGACTCTGTTATTCTCATTTGGGATCAGGACTTGTGTGTTTTGGCAATTGCAGTTAAAGCAGCAGTTTGTTCCAGTTGTGTTTTGTGACTGTCGTCTGCTCTGAAGGCTAAAAACAATAATGTCCACGCATTTTCTTTATAATTGTAATTCATTATTTTTTGTACCAAATATTTATAGGACACAATGGTGATATTCCTGGAGGGGGGAAAAATTTAAATTCTGTCCAGCTTCACTGTTTTTAATGTAATTTTGGAAATGTGCTGTGGGCAGTCTACCGTCGGTATATGATGTATTATCAAGTTGTTTAGTTTTATTAAATAAACTTTTACAGTGAAAGTGTGGTGTTTTTTTTTATTTGATGACAAACCATATGGATCCCAGAGATGCTCACAAGTCTTTGAGCTAGACTCCAAGTCAAGTCTCAAGTCTCTCGTGGTTATAATGAATGTTGTTTTACCTGCTGCATTCAGTCCAGGCTGCTTATAAAACTATAAACATAGCTATAAGGGATTCTGTAACACAACCATGCAATGTGCAATGCAATTGATGACAGCTTGATAACTACTGTAAGTCAGCGCCCCCCAGACTTTCAAAGCAGTGTAACATTAACTGTAAAACTTGCTTGTAAAAACACGTTATGGAAAATACAACACTCTTTTATTAAGTAAATCTTTCATCTTATGTCATTTACAACAAGTCATGTTTCTTTTAAGTGAGTGGAGTGTTGATTGTGATTTATAAAGGGAACTTGCTTACAGATGTTCGTACGCACGGTTTGTAAGTCTGAATATTTTATGCCGTATGCCATTTTTGGCTTTTGGGCGCACGTACACTTTTAGTGAGGATTCTACACACAGTTTTATAAAAGAGACCCCAGGACCGGAAGGCTCTGTAGCAGGTGATTAAAACTGCTCAGAAGATTATTGGTACCCATCTCCCGAGTATGAGTGATATTGGTGAGGTGAGGTGCCTACGCAGAGCCCAAAGGATACTAAAAGACAGCCACACCCAGCCACAACCTGTTCACCCTGCTGCATTCTGGGGAGAGATATACAGTACAAAAGTTTCAGCTGCGGCACCACCAGACTGCAGTGCAGTTTTTTCCCCCAAGCAATCAGGCACAAACTCAAATTCATCCGCAGCACTGCTCTATTGATCATTGAATATTGTTAATATCTGTTTACCATCAATTACCTGTATTAATGTATATTGTCTGCTATGTAGCAGAAGGGAGTTAAACAGCTCAATTTCATTATATAATAATTCCATTATATAACCCGTTTATCATTATATAACCTGTTTATTGTGACAATAAATGTACCTACCTACCTAATATTGATCAGTTGGGGGCCCAAAGCTCAATTATTTCCCCCTTCCTGTCTTCACCCAATCCATGCTGGGACAGGCTCCAACCCCATGACCTTGAATAAAGACACTAAAAGCTGACCTACTACACAGATTGTGTGCTGCTCACACAAGATGTTGACCCAGACTGTCCTGTTTACATGTCAACAAGTCCTCTGACCTAAACGACAAAATGGGTTGTTTATCCATGCCTCCCAAAATGACACATATTAGTGTTTCTTGACCAGTCCAACAACAGGCTAGGAAATCCATCGTCAAACGCTTATCCTGCGTACAGGGTCGCGGGGGGCTGGAGCCAATCTCAGCCGACATCGGGCAAAAGGCAGGGTACACCCTGGACAGGTTGCCAGTCCATCGCAGGGCCACACATAGACAAACAACCACTCACGCTCACACCTGAGGACAATTTAGGGTCACCAATCAACCTAGGCCGCATGTCTTTGGACGGTGGGAGGAAGCCAGAGCACCCCGAGAGACGCAGACACGGGGGGGGGAACATGCAAACTCCACACAGAAAGGCCAGGGCAACCGGGGTTTGAACCCACAACCTTCTTGCTGTGAGGTAACAGTGCTGTGCTGCCCTCAATGAAAACCTTTATTAATAAATCCCTTCTTTATTTCCTTTTTGTCAATGGGCTGTAACCTCACTCAGATGATGGCTGTTTTTTTCTGTTGCTCGGAACAACCACTATTCAGCTTGTTATGTGAAGGTTTCGGATTGGGATGAAAACTCAGTCAACATCAGAAAGGCTGATTATTAGCACACAGGCCAATAATCAGCTGACCAGTTGCTAACATTATCCTGTGCAAAATACTATTGTTGAAACATAATGGCTTTCTACATGACATCACCAGCTAACATAATCCACATCCTGTGTACCGCTGGTATTACGTCAAAGTGTTGATTTAGCCTGCAAAAAACACTACACTACACTACAAAGCTAATGTGGAGCGATTTATTATACTAGCCTGTGGTGATGCAAGGCAGGAGTAGCCCGCTATCATTAGCATGGTTCTGCCGCTGTTTGTTTTGTAACGTTCAATTTAGATTTATTGACGTTTTGCCGATACTCAGGTACACAGCTTCTCCACCATCTCAGTCGCTGTAACTAACTTGACCCACAAAATATACAATAATGCTACTTACTGCTGTTATAAAGTGTGGCAACAATCAAATTTATAATATTCAGTCTAGCTCACTAACTGTTTTGTTATCATCCAATACATTTAGCTGTGCTCACATTGCTGAGCCTCTGCTGAAAATAATGTTGGTTACTGAGACTGTAACGCTATCATGTAACGAGCATGGATTAGTTCAACATCAAGCTGAGAAAAATATTACTCTAACGCTACACTGGGAGTTTATCTGAGTTTCCAGCATGTTGTGTAATAATAATAATAATAACTTTATTTATAAAGCACTTATCAAACAAAAGTGCAAAGTGCTTCACAAAAGATAACGAGGACAATACAAGATTCAAAATACAAATAAAAATGGAAATCAAAAATAAGTAAAATAGATTGACTATAAAAATAAAACTGGAAT